GCTGAAGTTGCACCTTTCTGTTGGACATACTTGATGACAGGTCGGTAGCAAACTTTGTCCATGTTCGTTAAGTGAGAATACCTTAAACAAGGCTTGTCACTTCGATGCCTGCAGACACATGCTGCCTTGTGTAACAATGCTATGTAACTAAGCGTGTAAATTGGCGCCTATGAAACGTGCAAACTATTTGGGATGTTCTAGACATCCTTTTAAGTCAGCCTTTCATGTAGCCAATTGCAACTGAAATGAATACTGCAAATTTAGACACCAATTGTTAGATCGACATTTTCGAACGGTAGTGAGTCAATAATGAACCATACAATTGTATAGATTACAACTTCTTGTTTATTGTATAGACACATTTTGGTGTAGATTCGTACACTGTTAGCATGCTTGACTAAAACCAAGTGATGAGAAGTGTATATACATAGTATGTTATGTCAAACAGCATGTAATTAATAACAAGTGACCATTGCTCTATGCAATACACAACAAGTTGTTATCCATAAAATTGTATGCTTCATTATTCAATTTAGATAGATAACGAAGTGTGATCACCTATTTCTACAGTATAAATATCTTCAATAAAAGAAACAGGTTTCCGCTCTTTAAGTCTTTCGTCCTCTATTACCATTCAATGGAACCAGACCAATATATCCGTTATGCCAACGAGCGTGCTAATATGGAAAGCTAAACCTAGACGTTGAACCAAACACGCCACTAACTCGCTGATAAAACAAACCTGTCATCATTGAAGTGTTTGATATGCGTATTTGATATCAATTTAATGTGAATGTATCTTAAGTTCTCTTTTGTAACAAAATATACTTCAGAGAGCGGATATCTATAATTGCGGTAATATACTCTACATCACCTCACACATCTAAATGGAGATGAATTCGTAGCATTTGCGTTTTAGATGTGAAATATGAGCTTGCTTGTTGTTAATTATCCCAATCTTTCTGGGTGTGAAATGACATCAACGATGCAGAGAAAACACGTTTAAACGATTTCATGGTATTGGTATCTAGTAACGTATTTTAGAACACGAACAGACAGATGTAATGGGCTATTATGTGCGGTCCGGTGTATTTATTACGTAATGAACCAATGCGTCGAATGAAATGCTGCAAAACTGCTGGGAAGTTTTACGTCACACTCAGCAATATTCCAGCTATACGGCGGTGGTCTGTAAATAATCGAGGCTGGACCAGACAATCCAGTGATCAATAGCATGAGCATGGATCTACGCAATTGGGATACGATGACATGTGTCAACCAAGTCAGCGAGTCTGACCACCCGATCCCGTTAGTCGCCTCTTAAGACAAGCATGGGTTGCTGATCTTCACGGGTCTGCTGGGAAGGGAGTGATTTCTTGTGAGAAGTAAAAGGAAGTATAACAACACATATTTTTCACTTTTTCAGTATGTCTCTGCTTTAGACATACAAGGACTGTTTCTCATTTGAAACCAATCAAACGAACGCTTTCCCACTTATTCATCATACAACAGTCCGACGAGTATATATTTCGGTTGACTTGATCTAATCCTTGTGCTGCTAAGGGTAAACATTCATTACTACTATTCCTACATGCAACCTATGCATCATTCACCACCTCAGCCTTTTATAACGTGATCGCTACACGTCCTCGCCAATAAGGACATTGCTTTATTTACTGCAGTGAGATAACAATGAGCTTCAATCCATGGAGAGAACCCTGTTCTGTGTTCTATCTGGAGCCGCGATAAAATGCATGAGACACACTTCAAAAGGTTCATTTCAGATCAGTGACCTTAGTTGACATAAATACCAAATACTTTGCCTTGGAGTGAGACAGTGAGTTGAGTTTTACGCCGCTTTTAGCAATATTCCAGCAATATCACGGCGGTGGACACCAGAAATTGGCTTCAAACAATGTACCCATGTGGGGAACCGAACACGGGTTTTCGGCGTGACGAGCGAACGCTTTAACCACTAGGCTACCCCACCGCCCCACTTTGCCTGGGAGAAAACGAAACTTGAAACAGGTATACACGTAAATGATACATTACGTTATAAGTTTGGCATACAGAATTCGTTTCCGACTCGTTCCTGAACTGAAATTGTATAATATTATTCATACATTTATCCTGTGTTCGTGAAGACATGTAAATGTTACAATACATATCAAAAGGAAGGATTAACTAAACCAACTGCATAGACAGTGATCTAGGGCAATATCCGGATTAAACTGCAATGTATCTGACATTATCTTACTATCTGATGACATTTAGTATCCGAGCCATTGATGATTCAAAGGTCATCGCGTCCGTGTGCAATATAATAAGAGTATACGAATAATGAGTGTGAACTAAGCGAAGCAACTAGGTTGACAGGAGCGTCTCATTACGCTGAAATTAATGAAACAACCAACCGAAGTCTGAGACCGAGTCCCAACGCCACCTCATGCCATGTGGATCGCCCACAGTACCGTTGATGGCGTCGAGCAACACACATACACACAATCGTGTACACAGTGTGCTGCCAACAGGGGCCTATGGAAACATGTCTGGTCAGTGAAAGCGTTCACATTGCCACGACGATAAGGTCATACGTACACGAACGCCTGAAGTTATTGCCTCGCAAGATGAATATAATTGATGGCAATTAATTGAAGTGCATTTCCTGTATGAATGCAATGAAACCGGTTAATCCAAGTGGAATCGTCTTGATGAATGAATTAACCTCCGGATGATTAAGTGTCCGTTGTGAAGGGGTGTCACTGTATGTGACCAATTTTTGCATTATTCCTTACTGTTCGTTACCGATTCCTTACTGTTCCTGTTACGCGGCCTCTGCTTATTACAAGCCAACGTTCTTTGATGGAATGGTTGGGTATCTCTGTAATAGATGGTTTGATAAAGCGTTCTAGAAGAGCAATATGTTGCCAGTTAATACCAACCTATATTAGTATTTCCTCCTTCTCCCACTTCCTCCTGTGCTATAAACACGTGCTTCAACTGCTGTGAAATCGACCCCTTGTCGGGTTGATGCATATATACTTACGTAATTTACGACATCTGTCAGTGGAACGTCTCAGTTCGTGCTTACATGTTACAAAACAAATGATACTTAGAAATGCTTCTACTATATTACTCATATACATTATATACGATATCCTAAAAATCGATATGTGTGGCAGTAATGATGCCGCCTTTTGTAGTTCCATTTTCATAGTGCCATATGTGCCGTACATCATGGTTTGTCGAGAGACCCAATATTTCACGAGGCTGCTCTCGTATACACATTATTGCAATTAGTTAAGTTAGAGCACCTTGAAACTCTCCTTGAGGGAATATCAATATTACTTGTCAGTTGCAATTTTAATAACACACACAAGCTCACTCACAAATATATGGGTTTTATTTATAAATATTCTCGATAGGGTGGCCTGAGCGTGTAAGGTGTCTATATACCAAGTGTACTACGATATATTTGCCTTTATGAAAGCGGTCCTACATCTGGGTGTTGGCATTAACATCGATAGGAAAGGTACTAAATGCACTGAGCAATTAACCATGTCAGTTTGGGTTCACTGTACAGTTTGAATACTGCAATAATGAGAAGACAGTCTGGAAACATGGCACAAAAGGACCTTCCTAATGCAGACGCAAAACTGAAGTCTGTCTCCCCTATATTTCTTCTAAATATAGTCAGGGTGGCAAGTTAGCGTAGTTATTAAAGCGTTCGCTCGTCACGCCGAAGACCCAAGGTTCGACACCACACACATACACATTGCAGATTTCTTCATGCGCCTTTTCCCACGTAAGCATATATGGGGACAATGTGTGAAGCCTATTTCTGGTGTCCCTCGCCGTGATATGCCGGAATATGGCTAAAATCGTCTTAAAACCTTACTCACTCACTCACTCACTCAAGAACTTATAGCATGTTAGTGCCGTACCTTGCAAACCATTTACCAAAATGAGATAGCACTAACAATCCAAGCTTATACCTTACACCTTCAAAGGTTGGGTCTTGAGTATGATTTAAAGTTACCCCAAATATTCTGTTCACATTTATGCCACTTTGTACTTCAATGTGTCTATTTCAGCCTATTACATATACCTGCAGCAACGCGCCGAGGAGTACACATCAGTCACGTTCGGCATCCTCTAGGTCACAGAGACACAGACAAGTTATATATACAACAATATTACTATCTGTCTGCAAAGATTCCGTTTGAAACAACTTCTGGTGTTTTATCCTTATATGAACACAACATGATTTAATTTTGTGCAATAATACACTTAAGAAAGGGAATGTATACAAGCATAGAAGAATACTGGAACCAAACGGTGCGGTTTCATCACTCTGTTTACAAGTGAAAGTATTTGAGAAAGAAATAACACGAAAATGTATCCCGAGATTCAATCAGGACCACCGCGGTAGGTGTTAATTGTCCCCTTAGCGAACAAAGTAGCACCTAGACCTCTCAATCTCCCGTTCTTGGTCGGATATTAATACTTGATGGATGCGTGACAACCGATAGCATCAGTTCGTCAGCCTCAACCCGTCCAGCCTGAGGTCTTATCAATGGTCAACTCCCGAATTAAAAATTGACTGGACCTTCCCTCCCAATCAGCTTGGCAATGTATCGCAAGTCAACAGGGGCCAAGGACATCTGTCAGGTTTTGTGAAACGTCAGCATAGCGGCGACACACATGCTTGTGATTACTGTATCTGTGTGGCGCTGCGCTGCTTATAACAGGCAGGTACCGCGTTCACTCTTGGCAGTCTGAAGTACACCTAAGTGTTAAAAGCAGATATCCATATTATCTATTGTGACCGTTTCAGTGTGAGGCCTTGCATCTCAGATGCTCTATTTATGACCCTGCTCAGCGAGGCATACATTCATCTGCAGATGGTCACAGGATAATCTCTGTTTTTGTTCTTTCTGATCTTCCCCCCGTGAGGCAGAGTGAGGTTGATACTACCTCGCAACCTAGTGGAAATGATGATGCCAATCCATTCAGTGGAAAGGCGTGACTATTCTTTCTCGCTAAGCGCGCGGTACAGTCAGCTGATTCGCTGACGATACCGACAAGACTCGGGCTCCGTGAGTGGAGAAGCGATGTCGGGAGCTTTCTTCAATGACTTAGCGGAAACCAGGTGGCAACTAGTCCATCGCAGTATCGATTCCTGTTAGCGGTCTGTGAGAAAACTTGTTTGGGATGCATTCTCACGCATGTTTCGGGATGGAAGAGTTTTGTTGCCCGACTGTGGGGGTGCTTAAGGAGCTTTCATAGAGACGGATACCGTCATCATTTAAGGATTTTTCCGTTACGAACTCGTTTTCGGGAGTACCATTTGCGGATAGTTTCCTACATTTGTCTTAAGCAGTTTAGTTCCAAGGAATATCTAACCTCTCTAAAGAAGAAAGTAAGGACAAGTGTTTTCGTAGGCTCAGAGGAACACTTAGCCTTCTCTTGAGGATAGTGAAAAGTGTATCTGTGATGTTCTGTCTCAACAGTTGTCAAACGAACCTTTTCATTTTTCATCAAGTGTGTGCTTATTAGTGAGCCATATGAAGGCTTCTACACTGAATGTGTCGCAGCGATGAAACCATGACTTCACGTGTGCTTTTACCAGACCAACGGTAATTTGGCATATGACATAAGCAGACAAGTTAAAAGTTCCACACAACTTCCGATGTACATACATATCGTTCTCGCAGGAGGTGATAAAAAGGACAAAGATATATAAGTAAGAAGCAATTCAACCAGTTTCATTCCGATGTGGATACCTTGTCGAATATGATATTTTCAAGTATGGCGTCCAAGTGTAACATCTTTGGATGTACACAAGAATTGTATTAAAATTACTGGATTCTTTTTAAGACGAACTGCTTGTGAAGTACCTATAGCAGAAATACGGCTATAACATCCTTATAGCCAAGTGACATATTCATCATGTTGTTCGGTCAGTTGTCAAGCTACCGATTGACACACGCGGTAATGCTGCAGAAAATGATGAACAGAATTGCGGCGGTGGTTGTGTTGGAGTTTCTTACGTGTTTCTTCATTTGTGGTAAGTAAATTATTGTTTCTTTTTACAGTGCATTCTTGTGTAGGCAATTTACATATAATATGTGTATTTCAGTGTCTTTTACATATTTACTGCATACAGCTGTAGCTCAGTTGGATTGTTTGAGCGGTGCATAATCATGGGTCCGATCCCATAGGGAATGATTGAGGTTAAAAGTCTAGTCCAACATATGCATATGGTAATCGTCATTGCTCATCACACACCACTCCACAATGTGATGGTATGATTACACCGTGTCACGTTACGTGGTACATGTAACTCACAATTGATTAACCGTCGGAGTACACTTCCACAGTCCAATGCATGGGAGTACAACGTGTAAACCACGACAGTTTTTTGTATGTGCTGTGTGTGTGTACGTCAACAAGACATTACACTAATGGCTATCTTTCAAAGGGAACACTTATCGTTAGGTATGTGTATCTTTGTTTAATTGGAGATATGTCAATGGTTCTGTACTCCCAGGACACACTTGATGACTCTTTAAATTTAAATACTAAAAGTGGTAAATCGTGTTATCTTCATCTTTCCCATTTAGATGCTATGTACGTCTGCAGTAATTACGAAGTGTATGTTTAAATCACAGTTATTTTAGTGAGGATTCAATTACTACAGTGTTTGTGAGATAAATATTAGCTACACGTTTTGAAGCCGAAAAACAAGTATAGCTATTACAGATTGTTAATGCAAAGTAATTGATGTACTAGAAAATTGTGTTGTTGCAAAATGTCGAATGATGATTCACGTGTGACATTAAAATAAGTTTAACTTTCACTTCCTGTACGTGGTGTTAATAGCTGTCAAGTCAGAGTTTAGGAGAGGAATGCCATCTGCAGCTATATCATGACATGTTATCATTATGCGTCTATTTGTATGTCTTTATTTTGAGAATATGAGCCATTTCCGAAGCAAATGAATAGCTTTTGTCAAACATTTATCAATTTGTTTTCCAACCCATCTGCCGAATAAGTAATTATATTTATTGTATCACATTACATTTGGAGAATGTTCCCTGTATTGACCGTTCACGTGTTAATACATATTTGATGATTCTGTTAATTTAGTTTTGTTATATCCCAACCACGTATTTGAAACACTAATTTCATGAAATATGCAGGTGCTTTGGGATTCAGTCCAACTATTTCTCATACGAAAGCTCCACCCAAGGTTATAGTCCAATCATTAAATCTCCAGAGTGCCTTGGTATGGTCAGACTGACACACGACAGAGCTCTGCTAGAACCATCCAGTTTGAAGCTATATTTCTCACACAGTGGAATTTGTTGCGGCAGATTAATTATCAAGTCTATTTTCTCTGATGTTGAAGCGTGATATTTTCATAGTAAAAACATCAAGCCAGTAGAAATACATTTTTATATGCATGCATCAATCAATATAAGTGGATATTCAGATTATAAAATGCAACTAGCAGGGTTCATGGTAAGTGTGTATGGTCAGATTATGCTGGTACTGAAATGAAGTGATAACTGATACGGTAACAAAGCATAGGCAACAGGCACAATACGAACATTTGTTCATGTGAATACAAGCATGTGGCAATCAAGGTGTATTTTATCCAATATGAATAAGTGGTTATTGGTCGTTACCATCCGACCATGTGACACATGTTGTATATGCTAACTGTGATATTGCCGAATGCATTATTATATACCAGTCGTATCAGAAAATGTCATAATGAAAAAGGTTTATTAAAAATGAATAATCATATTTCACATCACTACAATATGTTGTGACAATGTGATTTTATGATTTGCTTCATGTACCGTATTATCAGTTTGTATATCGTTAAAATATAACGTTTTTAGGAATGTAACAATTTCATTTGCAATATTCAGCCACAATAGGTTTGTAACACATGGTAAAAGGGAACAGCAAGACCTCAATCAGTATCAGAGGATGTGACATAGCCTTGCTCCAAGGCTGTACTGAATGCTTAGCCCATGGATGTATAGTAATTCTATCCCCAGGACCCCAGTCTGCTGTTTAGTATTTTATAATAATTATCATTTATACTATTAAGTTTTACCTTATAGAATTATGCAAGTCCAGATGTGATAGAATAATGAATGGGTTGGGGTTTTCATGGTGTGTGTGTGTGTGTGTGTGTGTGTGTGTGTGTGTGTGTGTGTGTGTGTTTAGAAGTGTGTTAATATTGTAACAGCAAATAAAATAAATAATAGTAGTTGAAATTGCTAAAGCATGACCCCGTGTCCCTTTATAGCAAATCACACAAAAGAAACGTCGTTGTGAATAACAGCCTTGACGTATTGTGATCTGGCTGTGCCTACGAGTTTAAAAAGTTACGCGCAAAAACCACCCAAACCGACTCCTAATTGGAAATTGTCCAGACAGTAATCCGCTAGATGGTATCTAAGCACGGTTGTAAAACCCTGCTTCTGCAGATGTCTCTCCGTACTTCAGCTACCTTAACTTGGAGCAGAGAATTGAATCAGGTCGGGAAATGTCACTGCGTCGCTCGTAACGTGCCCATTATCAAAGGTAAAACCTACCTCAGTAAAACATTTTAAAATATTACGCATGTGTTAATTCTATACAATAAACATGTAAATGTGTATCCGATGCTTGGGAAATAATATTGCAGCTAATGACTAGCCTGCTGGGTGGTAAATGTGAAGAATACCTCAGAAAGATTGCGTTTAATTCTAGCTGGAACCAAAAAAATAACAAAAACAAATTCGCAGAAATGTTTTGAAGACACAAATTCAGACATAGTGTTTGAGGTGTAATCAAACCAACACATTCAGGTCCCTTGGCCCGTTTTGTAATAAGATGCATTGACTTATGACCAAATTGCGTTTCTCATAACTTCACATTCTCTGTGTGATTGTCAAACACACCATGAAAAGCTATGTCTCTAGATGGCTGGGTCTTGACCATACTAATTTACTACTCAGGAACATTGTTCCCTGTGCGGACAGTTTACTGTTATTTAATTGGAGAGTGTCGAAATCTTGATGTGGAGTTATATCAACCAGAAGACATATGCGTTGACTCTGACTTTACGCTGATGTTTAGATAGACGCCTGGTTGTGGGGCAATTCAGATAGGTAAATTAATAACTTCCTGCTTTTTAATCATTTTCTATCGATTTTGGCTTGTCATAACCATTTATATTGACGGATTAAAGAAATCGCCTTTATGGCAAACATCGTTTCATACTTTGCTGAAATTGAAGTTTGATAAGCATCGTGGCTATATTTACATTGAGCGCTGAAGGTTCATCTGTAAACTCTGTTTGAAAGGATGACCTTCATGCTTTGATAATCATTTGTTCATGGCCTTTACTCAGACAGCCTTTTGAGCAATATGCAATTATTGAAGATAAAATTACATCATTGATATTTGTTGAGTTCAAGATTTATTAGTAGGATTGTCTGAAAGACAACATTGCGTCATCACCGTTTAGTCCTGTGAAAGAGGACGCCACCTTCTCACCAGTTAATTCTGTTGTAATTTGTATTCCTTGGGTAGCAACTACTGGAAATATATATATATTCCCGGTATCATTCTAGACATATAAACTCTCAATTTGCAGCATAACGTTGGTTAACGTTTCGATAGAAAGTTTTATGTTACACATTGTTCAATCCCATTTGTCACCCTATTCAAAGATTTAGAGATGTATAGACCTATGAAGATCCGGGTTATAATTGGTCTTGAGCAACCCATGCTTGTCTTAACAGGCGACTAAAGGGATCGCATGTTCAGGCTCTCTGACCTGGTTGACACATACCATCGTATCCCAAATTACGTAGATCGATGCTAATGATGTTGATCACTGGATTGTCAGGTCCAGACTCGATTATTTACAGACCATAGGCTTGCAACTCGAATATTGCTGATTTCAGCGTTAAACAACAAACAAAGAACCATACATGTATATTTTGAAAAATTAGTTGAATTCGGATAGAAGAGGTTTACAGTAAAAAGGTAAACAGTCCGTGTTCCACAAACAGTGAAATATATACGGTCATGTGCCGTTGTTTCGAAGTTGAAGGGAATTGCATAAATAGTTCAAGTTATCCGAAGTTCGACACATCATAGTTCCACGTATAGGTGTTTGACTGAATGGTTTAAGCGTTAAGAGACTTTTTAAGGTATTAGAGTTGTTAGTTACAGCTAATTAAGACAGATACACACATGTAGGTCTACATATTTTTCTCTCTATATCGAATCAGTCTATTCGATGGTGTTTCATATGCTGGACATGTATCACCGAGTCCAATCTACAGTCAAAATTTGGACGCCTGATTTAACCACACATAACCCGAAGGTTGCAGACAATGCTGCAAGGAGGGTGGACGTCGCATGATCGACGGAAGCTTTTCACATGAGACAATGCAGGTTAAGAGCATGAATTGAAGCCGCATCCGGAGGGACAGTGTAGTCAATGAAAGTGTCATCTTGACATAAAAACGTCCTTCACAGTAAACCGTTACCATGACAATAGGAGAAGAATATAAAAAATATCATGTAGTTAAATATAACAGTATGTATCTTCAGTCACATGTGCAGATGCAGTTTATTGTTCAGAGGGGTGCAGAAAGTATAATGAGAATCAATACATGGTACTGCATACACAGACGTTCAAGCTGTAGCAACGTATTTCGTTCAATGTCGCAGGACACACAGGAGGAAATCAAATGAATTATTAGTTACCTTGTCAACGAGGGGTTTCTTGGAAAATCATAGTAGCGCAAACTGCTTTAAGAATGCTACATTAACACGAGACAAGATGAGTACCGTCTGAGGCTAAAGCATATGCTTTTACAACGCTACACTAACACGAGACAAGATGGGTACCCTCTGAGGCTAAAGCATATGCTTTAACAACGCTACACTAACACGTGACAAGATGGGTACTCTCTGAGGCTAAAGCATATGCTTTAACAACGCTACACAAACACGAAACAAGATGGGTACCCTCTGAGGCTAAAGCAT